CTGAGGAAATTTTAGCCATATTTTTTTAAAAAAGCTGAAAAAATAACATTCAGTATTGATGCTACAAAATAAAATCAAGGGCTGCTTTACCTTCTTAGAAGTAAAGTATCTGTGGCACCTGAGGTAATCTAAGCCACCTCCTATGAGAAGGACAACCCATCACAAAAATTAGGTTTAAAAAGTTAAAATTGCCTCAGCCCAGGACTTACTATTTTTCTCTGGAAATGTCAACAATTGGGATCTAAGGTGATTTTAGCCAAAATTTACTTCCTAAAAGGAGTAAAATAAAATAGCAATAGCAGTTAGACTTATATACCGCTTCATAGGGCTTTCAGCCCTCTCTAAGCGGTTTACAGAGTCGGCATATCGCCCCCACAGTCTGGGTCCTCATTTCACCCACCTCGGAAGGATGGAAGGCTGAGTTAACCTTGAGCCGGTGAGATTTGAACCACCAAACTGCAGATAGCAGTCAGCTGAAGTGGCCTGCAGTACTGCACTCTAACCACTGCGCCACCAAATAGGAGGAAAGAGTATTATGCATGTTCTCTGCCTTGAATTATTTATAAAATAATAAAGAACCAATAGGAAAAAATACTAATAAATAAAATGAGACAAAGAAATATTAATCCAAAAAAGGACTGGGGAGTATTAGCAAAAACTATTGTGAGATGGATATGTGACAGCAGTTTCTACAGTCAGCTTATGGAGTTGTTGACATGCTTATTTTCTGCTTGTAGGGTTTTTAATAAACATCCATCAGACCTCTCTTGGAATAGAATACTGGCCTGGATTGGCCTCTCAGGAATCAAAATTGTATCTTTATTCCTATTTTAACAGTGGCCAATCGAGATTCCAGAAAGCTTATAAGTGTAGCGTGGCATTCCATTTTTGACAAGCATTTGCTAGTTGAGGTATTCCATCTTTTGAGTATGGAATTATAATTCTAAAAACAGAACCAAGCTAGCTTGGATTACCAGTGGCTGTGACCTATCTCAGCCAGAAACATTAGTGTTTGTTATAAGTAATTAACTCTTAATAACTCAATGACAACACTGAGACTTAAGATTTAAATCATAATATTTCTTCAAAGCTTTGTGGACCTCCCTGTGATGACATTACACATACCCCAAGGGTCGCCAGACCACAGATTGATAAACACTGCCTAATTCCTCTCTCTCATCCTCTATCATGGAAGCATACTTTCTCCTTTTTTCTTGACAGGTGGAATGCTTCTAAACAATGCAGTGATCTTGCAGGTGTCTCTTAACATTTATTTTCCAACAGTACCTTCAGGACAAACCAAATCCAGAAGTATTCTTCCAACTAAAGTTGTAATTCAAATTGATTACACCCCGTTTTTTTAAATCAAAAGAACCTTAACAAAACAAAATCAGGTGGGCCATAGAGCTTTCTGAGCAGCAATGCATTAGTCAACATGCAATTATTGCTTGCTTTGTTCTATTTATTTTGTACAATTCCATTTGCAAGCATTGCATTTCACTGGGCATCTTATGAAGATGGCTTCCAGGTGCCATAACTAGCATAACGTAACATAACATCTGAAAAGTCAACAAGTTGAGCAGATGTGGTCCTCAAGATGTTATCACTCCCAAAAACAGAAGCACTCCCATATTCACTTTAACAAAACAGAAACTTATCATCCCCTTACCCTCCCACCCTCCCCTTACAGCTGCATGCAGCAGGAATGCTGCTTTCCTCCAGATGTTTTGACCATAAAATAATAGGTGTGCGAGGGAGTCTTCTTTGCTAGGCCTTTGTTGGCATCATTTGTGATGCACCTGCTGCTGCCAGTTGCTGAATCTTTTGGTTCATTGTTTCTATTACAGCTGTGGAAGAAAAGAAACCAAACTGAGTAAGAAAAGCATTTGAGCAATAATGGCGATAATCAGAATCAGATGGAGTTACATTTACAGTTTTTGCCTGCTGCTAAGGCCTACCTTGTTTCATTCCATGCTTCTCCTGAAATGCTGGCTGGATTTTCTCTATTTGCTTTGTCAGGAAGTCAATCTTCCTCCTGAAGAAGTCTTTAGCCTCATCCACTGTCTGCCAAAATCAAAGGTGTTGTTACTCCACTGTTTACAATCAAAATGGCTTTGTCAACTGAGAATGCCCAGCTAGCACCTAGCAACTGCTACTGTGACAAATCCAAATTCATTGGTTAATTTGGATGATTTTCCCAATCAGATTTTGGCTTGTATTTTTTCAGTCAACAGCGGGCAGAACTGGGTATTTCCTGGAAGGTTCAGAGAACACTAAATGGCCCATCTTCGATCCCCTTTGCCACCTGCCCTTGTATATAATGGAAATGGTATGGGATCAGCTGGGGTCAGCAGCAAAATACTTTGGTGACATATAGACGTATAAAAATGAATGAGATGAAAAGACTATTTAAATTTGGTTATCTCTGCCAAGATTAGAATTCTCTGTTAATTCTTTTGAAAATGGCTTTTGTTGCACCATACACATTCTCAAGAAACATGCCTTTTTTTCACAACCTGTGCAAAAATCAGATCAAAGAGGCTTTCTAAGATTTATTTAGTGTATGGCACATGTTAGCCAGAGATCACCTTTCCTGTTCCTATACAGTTTATTTCCTCACGGGAATCGAACCACTGAGCTGCAGACCTCAGCAGAGTGCAAGTTCAGCATCTTACTGTGGGAGTCACCATAGCCCCTGCTTCCTAAGAGCCTCTTATTCATGGGTCCACACAAATAGGGGCCCATACTTTTAAAGCTTCTTTGCTGAAAGGCAAGCGGGGAGAGGACTCATAGTTGCACATAAAAGCAGCTCAGAGATTCATGAGGTAATGTATAATCAATAGAGTACAATTTACAAAAAGGGAAGAGATAGATTCAACTACAAAACAATTCAGGCCCAATGTGAGTTCAAACTGTGGAAGACTGGCATAAGAGTAGATTCAATTAATGTGGTAGTAGGCTTGTTTATTTGCCTTATCAGACATCAGATTAGGAAAGCCTGAATCCTAATCTCATTTTACCAGGATGATAAATACTAAACTCTGTTCAATTTGGCAGATTAAAAAAAGCTACAAAAATGCCAACAAGAGCTGTCTCCAGGCTGAAAATCTTCACAAACAAAGATAATACAATACAACAACAGAGTTGNTCTGGGTCCTCATTTCACCCATCTCGGAAGGATGGAAGGCTGAGTTAACCTTGAGCCGGTGAGATTTGAACCACCAAACTGCAGATAACAGTCAGCTGAAGTGGCCTGCAGTACTGCACCCTAACCACTGCGCCACCTCAGCTCATATGAATTACTTGGAACTAAATCTACCCTAAAATTTGAGAAAGCTTTCCACCTTTCTGTCTGAAGAAGTCTAATTCAAGCAATGGCTTAGTAATCTGTCCCAATAGTTGTTAATGCTAATATCTGCAGCATGTTTATGGGGCACCAACAAAGAGAAAAATATGGAGATATGGAAGTCATACAATGAGAATAAGAAGTAGGAAAGGATGCTAATGGCGAACACCAGAAATGGGAGTCAATAGACCATAGTGTCTAAACTATTGTGGAGAAAGAACATTTTTTCTCTAGAAAAGAACAGTGTATCAGATGCACCAGATTTTAAACCTAACCTTCTTTGACTGAGATGGCCTGCTCTTGTGGCATGAAGCTAAGCTTAGATTAGTTGGATATCATACTTTGTATTGAAGCAGAGTAGAGAAATTTAATGAGCAATTTTAAATAGAATTTCTTGAGCCAGCTGAATTCTAAATGATCCATAAGGTTCATGGGTTGAAAATGAAAGAAGCAACGAAAGAATTGCATGAATGATTAACCTACAGGCTCCCAGATATTGAACAAATCTTTGGGGTCTTGTGACCCTGATTTTTTTCAGAAATTACATGGAATGATTAGGATCAGACTTTGTCGCTGGGGCCGTGGCAAAAAGTCAACATCCTGAGCACAAATCTCTCACTATAATGTGAGAATTATACATAAATCATTCATGGGCATGCACTTTCATTTGCTTCTCCAGCTTCTAATAATGCCAGAAATTTTGGAGATGTTGCAATACATTGGAATCACTTTCCTGATAAATATCTAAATATGAAATGTGGTCTTAATCCTTGTGCACCTTCCCATGCCATAAATTCTAAGTCAATAAACTACTAAACAGAGACATGGAAAACTTTCTCCTCCTTCTCTTCTACTTTGGTTAGTTGAATTGATCCAAATAGATTGCCTTCCTGCTGGAAAGCCTTAGTAAGGCCAACAATGTAGACATCTGAAGATACTTGGTGTCGCAAAGCTGCTCTTTAAATGACAACTGGACCTTATTTTTCCTTGAAGACATTTCACTTCTCATTGAAGCAGCTTCTTCAGTTCAGCTATTTCAGAAATACTTGGCATACCTTCTTACTCATTGTGATAAAAACGTTGGAATGGGACTATTCTCTTCCATCCTTAAGGAGAAGAGACTTTGATCTCCTACTTGAATTGGTGCATAATTTTGCTCCATTGTATTTATCTCCATGTTGTTTCCAAAGGAAACATTTTGATGTTTCCCAGATATCATGTGGATCCAACTGTGACTGATTATTCCTCCTCATTCTGGTTAATAGTCTAAAATGATCTATTGATGTTTCACAAAGAGAGAATGAAGGATGGGATAAATCTCATGGGAATGCTATTCAATGTTTTCAAGGAGATCATCATCAGACCTTGGAAATAAGTATAATCTTTATTGTCATTGTACTTAAATACAATGAAATTGGTGGCACGACTCTAGTTGAAAGTGTAAGGCAGACACAGAGCTAGGAGTAGATTGAGAAAGCAAATGCATCTTTTCAGTATGTCTATAACAGCATCTAATAGTTTAGAGAAACTATTTTGCTGAAGTTATGTAAAAATGATTGCCTACATTCTGATTCTTTGATTCATTCTCAATTTTTGCAAGTATGCCTGTTATCCACAATTGCACGTATTGCTTGCATTTATTTAATTTAAGCAAATAAAGTAAAGACATAGTAAACAGGGAAACTTGACCAGAGCTCACCTGGCTTAATCTTGAGTTGACTAAATATTTAGAGAACGATTCACCTCCCAAATTGAACTGGGAATGAGATAGTGTTGGTTCACTGAAGCTCCTACCTGATTCAGTGTGAATAGAAATGATTACACTCAGCCTAGTTTAACTTCACACTGACATTTTGTGAATCTCTCTGGTCTGGATAAGGTTTGGACATGGTCAATTACAGATGCTGCTTTGATACATCTGCTGTCTGCTGTTGTGGATTTTCTAAGGCAAATTCAGTGCACTTTAACATTGTGCCTTGCTATATAACTTCATGCACTTTCAGAAACTTTTCATTTTCTCTTGAAAATGAAAGAGATCTAAGCTAAATACCAAAAATCCCTTCACGGTCTACCATGGCTGAGTGCACTAAAATATAAAAACCTTGATTTAAGCATTTTTGTATTCAAAGATCATAGGCAAGTATTCATTTGAAAGTTCAGTGGCATTTTGAGATGAGAATATCATATATAAAGATGTCAGCAGTGGAGCCTCCCATGGTGAGTTTGAAAGAGGAAAAAAAGAGAACAGAATGAATGGGAGATTTTCCACATTCCAAAGAATTTTAAGATCTCATTATTTAGCTTACCCTATATGTAATAGTCCAATATTTCATATTATCAGCTGTTGAATGGCAGCATTAAATTACTTAACGTCTGTCACCCACTTTTTCTTATTCATTTATTGGATTTGATATGTGCCATCACCAGTGCCAGCTCTGAGACATAGACAGACAGACAGACAGATAGATCATAGACAGAAAGAGTGAAATAGAGAGAGCAAGAGAGAGAGAGAGAGCAAGATAGATACATGATATATAGATGATAGATAGATAGATGATAGATAGATAGATAGATAGATAGATAGATAGATAGATAGA